CATGAAAAAATAAGGTTAGACGGATCGTGGTAAAGATTCCTACAAAATTTATGTTACTGTGCCAAGCAGCTTCAAGAGAGATATGTCAAGATGTCAATTGAATGACTTGAGGTGAAAAACTTGGCAGTTTGAGACATATGACATCTTTGTTGCGGCCAGTTTAAACTTCTTGGCGGCATCTTCGTTCTCTTCTAAACTAATCTGACCAAAATACTTAGACCACCAGGATGTGCTCCTCAATTTAGCCTTCGGAAAGAAAACACTTCAATATGTCAGTTATGCAGTGAATGAAAACAATTATGTAAAACCCCAATAACAATTTGAAAAATCAAAGACAAGGTAGAACGACGAAATAAAAAGAAACATTAGAAGGCAGAAGGGTATAAAGACATGGACAATGAACATAAAATGTTTTAGCCTTTTGACATGTTCAAGGTTCGAAGAATAATTGAACAAGCAAACATAAAGGAAACTAGAGTATCCTAAGTGCAGCAGTTACTTACCGCCTTCCCAAATTTGGAGACCTCAGCAGCTTTAGCTCTCTGCTTACGAGGATAGCCTATATGGAAGATATCAAACATCTCATTAGTCCGACAGATTCGTAAATTTCTCCCACTAAGTTGTGGATTTTGTATTGCTACTTGGCACAAATAAAACACTCTGTTCCTGATATGAAAGAAGACAAAATCTTCTCTTTTTTGGTCAAATCACAAGACAAAATCTTATCGAAGAACCAGAAATACATCTTCAAAAGAGTAAGAGGCAAAACCAGGTGGACTATACGGCACCCAAACAGGCACATTTTATCAAAATGAAAAGAAAATACTCTTGTCACCTTCCTAGATTCGACCTGCTCACAAGTTGTTACAAAAGAAGACAGGTTACAGATCTCCAAATCCAAACTAAGTGTAAGATGACGACTCCAGAAACATATGAAATCAGGCTTATACGGATTTGAACATCAATAGTTAAGTAGAGGTTGGCCATCAATGAGGGGCATAGAATTGCAAATGATGTGACCATAATCAGGTAGAAGAACCTCAAGGATAGAAGCGCAGCCTATAAATGTACAACGAAACGCAAAATACATAAATGTATTTAACAAGTAGACATAAGATCTTACCAGTAAAGACCACAAGACCATCAACTGATACCCTTGCCAGATCCGGGAGGGTCTTGTTGAGGTATTTATCCGACAAATAATCCAACGCATCCGAAACAAGTACAATAGAAAACGACTTTGGCCTGTATGGAAGCGGATACTTGATATCAACAACACGAACTATGTCTTTGCGCACAAGAGCTTTGCAGCTTCTACCAGCATCCTCTACATCATAAGGTTCCACACCCCATGCTTCAGTTTCTTCCTCACTCAGCAATGTAGAAACCACTGCACAAGTATCAGGGCCAACGTGCAAAACCTTATGCATGCTGTCACCATATGCTTTCTTCAAAACAGGAATTACTCGTTGGACCTCCGCTGTGCATGAGTAATCACCTGCAGCTAAAATCTTCATATGAGGAGAC